CCCCAAAACCCCAAAACCCCAAAACCCCAAAACCCCAAATTTATAATTTTTAGTGGACAATATAATTATTATAAATGTTTAATTTCTGGAATAGGAACAAACAGCTTGTCAATCGAGTTGCTTCTCAGAGATACTTTGCAAGGAGCGTTGCTAAAAGTGTTCCCTTTGCTGCTTCACAGGCAGCTGAAATTTTTGGAGACAGAACCTTCATTACTCCCACTCCAATGGAAGAATTTGATGCTCATAAGCATAAAATGGAAGTCAAGCACAATAATATACAAGAAATAAAGTGGCATGACAGGACTGTAGGAAGGAATATATTCAGATTTGAGCCTCAATTCCCCGATTTTGAAAATGGCTATAGAAGAGATGGCAGAGATCACGAATCTAAGATTTTCAAAGCAGGTGCAGAAAAAGCAGCGAATGAATTTAAAAAGAGGGCCACTGATAATATCGCTCTCACCAAGTTAAAGCAAAGACTTGTTAAGTCTAAAAAAACTGTTGATAGTCAGAAATCTGGACCATCGGAGATTGAATTGCTTATGAAATCTATGGGTAAATCTAATGATAATGGATATAGACTATAACCTTGAATTAAACTATGACCCTACTTTTGGAGAGAAAGAGACCCTCCTTGAGATTAACCAAAGGCTTGATGTTAAAATGGATAATTTGATTGAAAAGCTCACCAGACTTGATTACAGAGATTTCCTTGCTGTTAATAAATACATCCTTGAAGCCAGGAATTCTAAAGAAACACACTTACAAGCAAGAGCTCATGTACTAGCAGCTGCTATGAGGAGGTAAGAATTCAAATAACCTTGCAGAATCTCTCAGAAAAAGAGGAATCAGATTGACCAAGAACTTAAAAACAAGCACAGCTTAAGCGATGATGTATCCAATACTTCTTCTGACTTAGCTGATTTTAGAATCAAAGCGTTTATGGAAGAAGACCCTCATTTGAAGGATGTTTATAGAAAATCCTACACTGAAATTAAAGAAGGTACCACACTTAATTCATTTTTAGAAAACACCAGAGACACTGCCGACCAAGATCTTGACCAGTTCATTGATGAGGAAATATATGAGGAGGATGAAGAAGATCATTTACTTGAAAAAGAATTTTACACCCATAAGTATGTGCATTGGTTTAAGACTACCAAGGAGCTTAGACAGATTTATGAGCAAGATATTGGATCTGCCCAGACTAAGGAAGCCAAAGATATTGCACATGATAAATTCATCAATATGAGGAAAAGAATGCTTAGGAAAAAGAAATTGGCTGTTAGTGTAGAAAGTCTTAGAGCAGAACTGCTTTATAACCATCGTATAAAGTTAATAACTAAACAGAAGATGCTGGAAGAGCACAAAGATAGGATTGGACAACCTGGCTCAGATTTTCTTGAAAATGAAATATCTGATTTAGAAAAAATGTACAATCAAATCAAACGTGATGAATCTCCTATTCTAAAGAAGGGAGATGCTACAGATGAGATATCTCAACAATGGCTCGAATTTATGGATAAATTTTCAGCAAAATATTACGATTCGAAGTGGAAATGGTACCAATCCACCAAGATAAAGCAGATCGTTACTATGGATGCTCGTGTTTCAGGCTTGATCCAAGTTATCAATGATAATGAAGGAAATTTGAAAGACAAAATGGAATATATGTATAATAGGATCAATGACCATAATGACAGGAAAGAAGTCAGGGACATGATCAGTGCTGAAATTCACAAGAAGACATCCATTCAAGATGTTGGAGAGGTTCTTGATGATCTTATCAGAGAGTATGAAGCTAACAACCCTGAATACGAAGGAAATATTGAACCTGAATCTCTATATAAAGAATACACATCTCCTGAGCTTTTCCCACATTTATACCATGTTCTTGAGACTAGAAGAGTCATTCCTTCTCAATATGATGCAAGGGAAAGAGGAGAGGGCAAAATTTTTAAAGAAACCTTTGAAGAGGTAGACAAGAACGACCAAGAAAGAGATCATAGTTTAGAGTCTCTTGATGAGCACGAAAAGATTGAGATGCAGATCTACTCGTCTATCAAAAGGGATCCTTACTACAAGCATTATGTCTACAACTGTCTGAGACATGAGTCTGAGTACCTAAATGCTAAATCTAATGACCTTTCTATGGCTATTGCTGCAGATAACTATAATATGAGAGTTAAATTTGATCCAATCGAGATTCCAGATCTTGAGACAAAGGGGTATTTGAGAGATTTTGTTGAGAAGATCACTAACGGAAAAGCTTGGGGATCAGGTAGACGTAAGACAGCCAGAGCTATTTGTGCTGTTAAGCCAGGAAGTGGGGTTATTACTGTCAATGGAAAACCAATTCAGGATTATTTCCTTCTCCCTCATCAGAGAAGGTTGATAGTTGCTCCAATCAAAACAGCTAATTATACCTCAGTTCTAGACTTTGAGTTATGGGTAAAGGGAGGAGGTACCTCAGGTCAAGTTGGTGCTTGCCTTCCAGCCATTGCTAAAGCTCTTTCTAGATTTGACCCACAAGTCAGAAAGAAGATGGAACTCCACAGATTTGTCTATAGTGATGGAAGAGTGAGAGAAAGACAGCATTATGGTAAAAAGAGAGCAAGAAAGGGACGTGTCTACAAGAGAAGATAATTCTAAAGCCAGTTGAGCTTTCAAAAATGATTATTTATTTGGGGTTTTGGGGTTTTGGGGTTTTGGGGTTTTGGGG